ACTGAGATATTTGGAAACAGATTATAATCACAATCGTTCAGTGTAGTTGCTGCATTGGACGGGTGCCTCTCTGGCGAGATTCCCAAAAATCTATGTTTCCATGCAAATATTTCCATCCTCAGCAAGCAACTCAGGTGAAGGCATGTCTCCGTGGTATGCTTCGATGATCTTGTCAACATCCACATCTTCTCCTTCGCATAGAACTTCAGGCAATAAACCTGTTTTTTCTTCATCTGTCATCGAGCTTCCTCCTAATATCAAAACTGAAATACTATTTGTTCAACTAATAATCGGATCTGAAAAGTGGATCTGTGGAACATACTACAGACCTCCGACTGACATTGATAGTATTGACAGTCTGGAAGAAATTTTAAACACTCTTGGTTTAGACTTCTACGCAGGTGTCATCCTGCTGGGCGATTTTAATATCGATTTTTCGCCTAACATATCAACGCCATTAAAAACTAACTTAGAAAACTTAGCCGATGCCCTGTGTATTGACCAACTGGTTCATGATGTAACCAGATCATCGAACGACATCTAACACAATAATTGATCTTATATTTTCTTCTCGTCCGGATCGCTTGTGCGACGTTAAAGTTGAGGCAGGTCTTGCCAATTCAATTTCGGATCTTTTTTCCGCATGTGTCAATGACAGTATTCCAGTTCGTCGTTCGCGTAAAAAAGCCAAACCCTGGATTTCGCCCGAAGTTCATAAGCTTATTCTTGATAAGCGGGTTCTGTTTAAGAAAGCTCGTAAGGTAAACAGTATTTTAGAATGGAATATAATAAAATTATACGAAATAAAGTTCGCAACATCTCAAAGAAGGCCTATAATGATTTTATTACTAATTTGTTCAAAAAGAAAGATAACCGGAAGTCTTTTTGGTCTTTCGTCAAAAGTAAGCGCAAGTCTTCTCAACTTATCAATTCGTTCGTGATTAATGGTATTAATTAAGGACCCTACTCGGATTGCAAATGAGTTTAATAAGTTATTTGTTAGTTTCTTTAGTAACTCCACTGAATGGCAGCCTCACTTCCCCCACCTTGGACATACCAGCTCTTACCATCTTCAGTGTCTCGTGTTGCCAGGTGGAATCCGCTATTAAAAACGCCGCAACAAATAAAGCTTGTGGTCCCGATGGATTGAGTGCTCGCATGCTAAAGTTAGCTTGTCCGGTAATTATTCCTGTAGTTACGAACTTTTTTAACCAATCGCTTTTATGTGGTCAAATTCCTAATATGTGGAAACGTGCTAATGTCGCTCCCATATACACGAAGAGAGACAAAACTAACCCTCTCAACTATCGGCCAGTTTCTCTTACGTCGATAGTGTGTAAGATTTTGGAGAAACTCATCACTGCTTAAGCAATGGTCTTTTGGCAGCCCATCAACACGGTTTTTTACCGGGTCGTTCCTGTACCACTGCCTTGGTGTCAGCGACTACAGACTGGTTACGTGCGCTCGATTCGAAAACTCCAGCCGTTGATCTCATCGCTCTGGACTTTAGTCGTGCGTTCGATACGATAGCGCACAGTATACTTATTCGCAAACTTATGTTAACTTATAATATTAGTGATTCTGCATTAAATTGGATAACTTCGTTTGTTTCGGACCGTTTTCAGCGAGTTGCATATAGCGGGAAATACTCGGACTTTTTGCCTGTAAAATCTGGGGTACCGCAAGGATCGGTACTAGGTCCGTTACTTTTTGTCATGTATGCCAATGATCTGCATCTTCATGTTTCATCAAGCATTATTCAATATGCTGATTATGTTTTCATTTTTCGGAAGGTAATTACTAGGGATTCGGATTCAGGTATTCAGAATGATTTAATCTGCATTTAGACATGGGCGAAAAAAAAATTCTCTTCAATTAAATCCTAATAAACGCAAGTCTATGCGTTTAACCTGGAGACGATATCCTAAACCCAGTTATAGCATCTCTAATATACCCTTGGATTGTGTTGACTCACTAACAATTTTAGGCTGTTCCATTCAAAATAATTTGTCATGGGACTTACACGTTCAAAATACAGTGTCCAATTGTAACCGTATCATAAGCCTTATACGTCTTATAACATCTAATGCCCAAAGTGATGTAGCTCTTCACCTATATAAGACACTTGTGCTTCCCTGTCTATATTATTGTTCCCCAGTTTGGTGGGTGTACCGAAAAAACATATAAAACAGTTGGAATCAGTACAGCGGAGAGCTACTTGCATGGTTTTAAGGAAAGGATATTTAGACCAGTCTTATCATGATAGAAGAACTGAATTAGGCTTACTGTCTGTTGAGAATAGGCGAGACTTTTTGAACATGACATTCATTGCAAAGTTACTCATTTCTCCATGATCTGATTTTATGACGGGTTATGTCGATTTACTTGAAATTAATAATAGGCATCAAGATATACTTACCTTCCATCATGCTAAAGATCGTACTGATGCTCTTAAATACTGTGGGGTAGTTAGATTTCCGAAAACCTTTTCTGAACTTAATGTTACTATAAGAAATAATCTTATTGAGGAGCCATTTTTCATGTTTAAACAGAGTTTAAAGGATCATTTTACTGATTTTTAAATTTGCTATATTCTGCTCGACGAAATGTACTTGATTGATTTTATCCATTTCTTGTGACGGTTGCATATTAAAATTCTGTAGATGACTTAATACTGTTTATTAAAGTTATAATTTTATTTAAACCTTTTTTTTTATTGTATGTTTTTAAAATTTTAATATGTTTTACTTTCGTTCATTTTAATGTTTAAACTTTTGTATTGTTTTGTTGGCAGGGGTTTAATTAAGCACATCTTTTGATGACAGTTTTTCTAACTTTTGCATTTCCTCGGCACCCCTGTCCAACTTTTCTGTTTTTGTCGAAAGATTGAAAATAAAATAAATAAATAAAATAAAAGCTTAGATAAAACTACAGCTAAGTTGGAAAATTGTGCATTCAGTTCATGGAGAAAATGTGATCCACGAATGCACGCAGTCTCTTGGGTAAGATTGACTCTTTGGGGTGTTTTCTTCTAACCCTTGAATTTGACCTCGATCTTGGCTTCAAAATAATAATAGTCCTCTAACAAATATTCCCGGCTATACAATCAAAAGGTAGTGGTGTCGTAGCTGTGTACGTGCGAAACAATTTATTGTTTGTTGTTCGTGATGATTTATCAACCGATGAATCAATATGTAAATTGATGTTGAAATAAAAAAAAAGCATGGAAAAAATAATATTGTATTATTTTTGCTAGGCGCATTTATAAATACAGATATTTTGGAATATATTTCCGAAACTTCAATACAAAATTTTGTTAACACTCTCTTCTGCAATGTTTATTTAATGTTAATACTAAGACCTACTAGAATAACGTCAACAACTGCTACTCTACTTGATAATATACTGACCAATCAGCTTGACTTGTGAGTGGCCAACTTTATTGTGACATTTCAGATAACTCACCCGTTTTTTCCATATCTTCTCTGACATACAAAAACACCCAATGAACATAACAGAACATAGCTTATAGGAAAATTAATGCAAACAATATTGAACGTTTTAAAGACGAACTTAGTGAAAAATCATGCATATTCAACATTTGAAACCAAATTAAAATTTAATATAAAAACACTTTCCGAAAACAATTCAAACTAATAAAAATTAAAAATTAAAAACATGGATGACTGATGCAAGGGTCCAAAGTCTCCCGGAAATCGGGACGGTTTCCCGGAATCAAGCAAGAAATTAACCCATCTCCGCAAATTCATAATTTTGCATGTTTGTTTTATTATCAATTTTCTCATGGAAGTCAGTGCCGGTGGATATCACTATGTGCAGTAAATTCAAATTAAATGTAAATGTGTTAAAAAGCTCATTACCAGATCAGTGGCGGATTCAAGGGAGGGAGAACCCGGTCCAAGCACCCGAAATATTTAAAAATTATGAAAAAATGGGGTAGAAATTCAAAATTATATTCGAATTTCAGTGGAGAGGGCCATTGCCGACCATCTAGAGGTGCCATAATCATTAATTTTCTTACCTCAGCTCCAACCATGGTGGCATGGTGATAGGGGCCGCCCCCCCTCTAAATTCCTAAAATTATTTTTAAATCTTTAGAGTGCGATTTCCGACAATCTGGAAGTGACATAATCATGATTTTTCTTACCTCAGCCTCAACCATCGTGGCGCTGGTGTGGTCTAGACCGGACCCCTGTTGATTGTTACAATTATCTAGGCCTATTAAATATAAACAAAGACTTTATGCAACATATTTACGTAATCCAATCGAACAAAACAAAATAATAAGGATAGGGAATTTCGTAACACTTTAAATTCCCTGCTAAAACGTGTTAAAACTGACTATTATCAAAACAGATTTTTTCAGTGTAAGCACGATATTATAGGAACATGGCGTGTAAATAATACATTGATGAAAAGGTCTTCAAATCTAAACACTGAAATAGACGATAACGGTGGATCTATTAAAGATTCAACTGAAATCGTAAATGCATTCCAACAAGTTTTTTGTCGAAATAGGCCCAACCTTTTTCTAATAAAATGCCGACAAATCGACCTAAATTTAATAAATATTCATCTCAGCCTAACTTGAATTCATTGTTTATGCTTCCAGTGTCGGACACTGAATTTATAGACATTGTTAAAGGCTTTAAAACTAACAAAGCACATGGACTTGACGAATTTAGCCCAAAAGTTATAAAACAATCAATTTATTTGTTTAGCTAAACCTCTTTGCCATTTATTAAATTCATCTTTAATAAACGGGGTTTTCCCAGACAAATTGAAGTTGGCAAGAGTCTCCTCTATTTTCAAAAGGGAAAGGAAGGATTCATAATCCAACTACCGACCAATATCTGTATTTTCCAAAATATTAAAACGTATTATTTATAATAGGCCTAAGAACGTATGATTTTATTGAAAAAAATATATTCTTTTTAATAAGCAATTTGGGTTTCGGAAAAACATTGACATGTCTATGGCCTTAATTGACGCTAAATTCCTTGGAGTATCCATTGATAGTCGTCTATCATGGAAACCCCATATATTTGAAATTGAAAACAAAATTGCAAAAAATGTTGGTATAATATGTAGACTGGCATCTTTTCTTCCCAATTATATTCTCCGCACTCTCTACTGTTCCCTTTTTCTTCCATACTTGCCATACTGTAATATTGTATGGTGTAACACATTTCCATCTAATCTAAGTAAATTTCAAATACTCATCATACCAAAATCATACGGATAATCTCTGGCGTCCCACCAAAAACAGATCCTTTATTTCATTCTCTAAAATTATTAAAACTCAAAGATCCTAATACATTCTAACAATGTTCTTTTGTATATAAAAGCTTAAACTCAATTCTTATATCTCAATTATGTTCTAAATTTGCACCTAATAACGAAGTACATGGCTAGTACCAGAATCTCAAATAAACTGCACATTCCCAAACACAAAAATACTTCATTTCAACATAATATTAGGTAGTGGACCTAAAATTTTGAATTCACTCCCTCTAAACATCACTGATTCACCATCTGAACAAAATCTCATTTCTAAAGTGATTTTTTTTTTAATCAATAGGCCTAATAATATTGATTAAATAAGTTTTCATATGTTAATCGATATTTTACTAATAAGAACAGTAATTTTAGTTTTATTTTTTCCATATAATTCTAAAAATGTATGTATTTTTATATTTTTTCATTTACATATTGAAATGCTTTATTATCATTACTATTATTATCATTAAAAATGTTTGTCATCTTTTTGTTAATTTGTTGTTAAATGTTTTGGGCACATCCATCACAAGCTCTGCTTTTAGGAATTGTGCCCCCTTCAATTTACATTTTTTATTTATTACATTTCAAAGAGGATTGCAATTTACGTTTTGAGGAAATACAATTTTATTTTTGAATTGAATTGAATTTTTGAAGCTGGGTCGTCTTCATTGAGACCTTCTTCGTGAGATGTCTCTGCTTCCTCTTGTACTTGTGATTATAAACTGGCCTATCCGGATTGGAGTTTTTCTTAACCCATTGATCCACGACTGGCACATCTTAGGCGCCGCTTTTCTCTTCCTCTGGTCTAGGCTACTGTTTCTTGATCAATTTAATCCTAATATAAAAAGACAAAAAAAACAAACATTAAATTCACCACTATACTAGACCCTACTAGTAATTATGAATACTTACACATTGCCCATTCATTAAACCGTTTTACATTGGTGTTGGTACAATGATTCTGGCTTGGGAACATGTCATGATTTTAATAAAGAGAGTGAGTAACTTAGACCATGGACATGGCTAGACGTATCGGAGACTTTCATCATAGAATACTCCCAGTGTAAATAAATAAAATATAATGGTAGCATTGTCTTGTAAATTACCTATCAACCGATGGTTAAACAATTGTGTTTGGCACTACCCCGCAGCAATTGCGGATCCAGGGATGTCCGAAAAGTGGGGGAGAAATTTGTGTGTTCTATTTTTCACACGAACACCGCCGCTGATAGCGCTAAAATTCGAAAGTTCCACTTGCGCACCACGGCACGAGGTAAATGAAATCATAATGCAATGCATCGGTAGCATTTCGCGATAACTGTGAACGATTGGACATGAGACTCAACACAAGAAATTGTGCCAGTAACGGGTACCGTAAGAAACGGACATTTGAATAAAATATTCGAAAAAGTATTATAGTGTAAATAAATAAAATATAATGGTAGCATTGTCTTGTGAATTACCTATCAACCGATGGTTAAACAATTGTGTTTGGCACTACCCCGCAGCAATTGCGGATCCAGAGATGTCCGAAAAGTGGGGGAGAAATTTGTGTGTTCTAGATGTCCGAAAATAACCTCTGAGGCTTTTTGGGCGATCATTTTTTTTCTTTCTTTCTTTTTTCCCTTTATTTTACTATCCAAAAGGGAGGCCGGGGCCGATCTGCTTCCACCTAAATCCGCCCCTGCGCAGTAGTAAGATAAATTTTGATGGATTAGCCTCTATTTTTCACACGAACACCGCCGCTGATAGCGCTAAAATTCGAAAGTTCCACTTGCGCACCACGGCACGAGGTAAATGAAATCATAATGCAATGCATCGGTAGCATTTCGCGATAACTGTGAACGATTGGACATGAGACTCAACACAAGAAATTGTGCCAGTAACGGGTACCGTAAGAAACGGACATTTGAATAAAATATTCGAAAAAGTATTATAGTGTGTAGGTCTTTAGGTAGGCTTTTTTTTATATGATACCCGCCTTGATAGCGAGAGGTTGCAGGGTGGAATCCCACCAAGGACACCCTTTTTTCATACAACTGGAAAATTTGGTTGAAGGACTATGCTTGATATGATCATTCCATCATGTTCCTATTCGAGCACTGTTATTATTATTTACAGTATCTATTTTGTTTATGTAGTGTTTACGCTGCTACGCAGCAAACCTAATTTGAGTATTATTTATCATGATTTTCAGCTGCGACCTATAACTTTTATGGCTTAGATTCAGCTCCACTACGTGTGAGCATTTCAGTCAGTTGTATGAGAGAAAGTGCCTGGGGATTACATCTGCTCAAAATACCGTAAGGTGTCCATAGTATAATGACATGATACCCGCCTTCATAGCGAGAGGTTGCATGTTCGAATCCTGCCAGAGGCACTTTTTTATACAACTAAAAATAAGAACTTTTCGTTGAAGGACTATGCTTGATACGATCATAACATCATGTTCCTATTCGAACACTGTTATTGCCTCCGCCATGGAGGTTAGGCCTATGTTTTCGCTCCTGTTTATTTGTTTGTTTGTGTGTGTGTTTGGCTGTTTGTCTGTTTGTTTTTGACCAGTCTTCGGGCACAGTTTTCATCAGAAACTTTTCAAACTTGATCATAATGATCCATGACCAATGATCTCGTGGTGATTAAATTTTAAAGGGCTATGGTCAAAGGTCAAGTTCACAATCAACGAAAAACTACTTTTATGTATAACAGCCTACAGCTAACAATTTTTATCAGGAATTTGTAAAACTTTGTTACAATGTTTCATGACCAACAAACTAAAGATGATTCAACTTTGAGGGGTCAATGTCATAGGTCAAGGTCACAATCATCGAAAAACTACTTGTTTATATATAACCGCCTACAGCCGACAATTTGTATCAGATATCCGTAAACCTTAGTGACAATGTTCATTGACCAACAATCTAAAGATGATTACATTTTGAAGGGTCAGGGCCAAAGATTAAGGTTACAATCCACGAAAACTACCGTACTTTTATATATATATAAAACAGCCTAAAACCAACAATTTTTATCAGAAACTCGTCGAACTTGGTCACAATTATACATGACCAAAGATCTGGAGGTTATTAATTTTTAAAGGTCAAGGTTCCATGTCAAGGTCACAATCTGCGAAAAACTACATTTTTATATATAACAGGCTCCCCAGTCAGGGGCGGATCTATCCCGGTAAGAAAGAGGGGGCGTGAATGTGCAAACTGAGTAAAAGTCTCATGGAAGAGCCCCTGGTAAGGGTACAAACCTCTAGCACCGTAATTAATTAAGTTTGTATTTGATTGATTTTTAACATTTAGCATGGTTTATATTCCGATAAGCTTTTGCAAAAATTATTTTTACAAAAAATAGGGGTGGCGTACGCCCATTACGCCCCCCCCCCCTTCTATATCCGCCACTAGTGTGTGTAGAGGTGCATTTATGATAGAAAGAGATTAGCTAGATATCATTTCGCGGCAAATACGTACATTGCATTTTAAAGATGTATTGTCCCATGCAAAATACAAAAAAAAATCATAAAAATCATTTTTGAAATTAACTAACTTGCCCATTTTGTAGTGACATGAAAATTATCAACTTGAACATAGAAATTAGTGTGTTTAAAAAATGTTTACCCATAATTTTACAGCGAAAAATGATAGAAACACTACCAGTCATTACTTTTATTTTAATTAACCAGCTTAAAAATCAAGTTACACATTTTTTAACTTTAATAATTAATAATTTCTATGCTCACATGAATAATTTGTATGTTACTGCAAAATGAGCAAGTTAATTTCAAAATTCATTTTTTTAATGATTTTTTGCATTTTCAAGGGACAATACTTCTTTAACTGAATGCAACATTATAACCATTTTTCGAATCTATTAGTCATTTTATGTCTTTGTAGTTCTGCGTAGTACATCATTGATTAGCTTTATTTATTACTTCTAAGTCAAGTTATTTATAACTGGAGTAATATTGCTAATATTGGGAGAATTATTGGACTATGATACCCTTGATGCGTACTAAACGAAAAACAGGAGATAAGCAGGATGATTAAAGATAGTGGGATAGCCAATCACATAGAACTTACGTGAGGTTATGACCTATGATTGAATGAGCGAGGCACACAACACATTCAACCTGTTCTTATTACTTACGCCTCTGTATTGAGGACTGAGCACTGCTTCTGCCGTCCCACAGTCATACTGAGCCTACAGTTTATTCAATGCTTTCATATGCATATTAGGATATGGCCTCAATAGCCAAGGTTTGTAGACTTTCATGCATTCATTCACTTCTAATTCTCTGCCGCTCAACATACATCAGCCGAGTCATCCAACGGTCCGTGACTTGATGAGTTAATGCAATTGTTTCTGTCCTAACGACAGGCACACCGTCGTTGTGTTCCGTTTGTTCTAATACCTGATTAGTATCTCGGCTGATTTGTGGGATTAACCAACGAGTTGTATATCATTTCCTTGTCATCCTACCTGCAAAATTTTAATTACAGCTGTCCGAAAAAATGAAGTAACAGGCTGCTCCAGTGTTTAAACCGGAATTTATAATTGCTCGTCAAAACACATGCAGACTCTTCATAGAAAATTGTTTGCAGTTGATAAATTAATTTCTATTTCTATCACTCGCAGTTTTTCGGCAAGGATTCGCACAAGTCCCATTCTAAGGACGGCGACATGTTCAAGAAAAAAACTTCCTCTTCTAGTGCATCTTTTCTTTCAACGGATTATAACACATTTGGTGAGTGAACAAAAATGCAGCCGATGGTAGGCCTAGAACTTGCGCTTTAAGCTTCAGAACTAAATTAAGACTTCCTAAGCTTAATATACAACATTCACTTATTTAATTCAGCTCATTACTACGCGAATATGTATATTGTACGTTACTATAGCAATAGCATTTTGTTCAACGTTAGAATAGAGTAGTTCTTTATGGACGAAAACAAATCAGTAATTGATCTACATCAATACCGGTTTAACAGATTGATTAAATCTTGTGTAAAACGTATACGATGTATGCCTAATTGAACATGATTTAATGTTTGCCAACGTATTTTAGGAAATACTCAGATACAAAATGACAGTACTGTAATTAAGTATAGTTCACGAATAATCTGTTGATAAACATACCGTAGTTTACATGAATTACATATCCTAAATTACCATATTACCACAAAGTATCGATACACATCGTCTAGTCGATATCGCCAATGGCTATGATACCCTGTCAAGCCAAACATACCTTTCATAATACATCTACAATCTAACGAAACTGAAACGCGAATGAAGCCATATACATGGGTTATTGAGGATTATGCCTACGTATGTCCACATCGGATTCAAAATATCAATTGGTTAAGTCTTATCTTTGTCTCACTCAACATGCTAAGAACACGGCTCGAATACCTAGCGCAGTAGCTTGCAACTTCTACCATATACATATACTTCTACTATAACAACTCCCAGCATATACCCATC